AAAAAAAAAAAAAAAAAAAAAAAAAAACCTCTCTGATCTGATACAAGTTAATAAATGGGTTAGTTGTTGTGAGAAGATCCGATGCCATGTGTGAAAGCATCTATCATGGAGTAATGTGCAGTAAAGGGCTATGATGTGCATGAAAACTTGCTTCACCAGAAGAACAGAGGACTTTGAAAAGTTGTTTCCTGTCCTTCTCCCACGCTGGCATTTCCTGTAGTGGCCCACAGACCAGCTGTCACTCTCCTGACCTTGGGCATGGATCCCATTCCATCCCAAGCAGGGAGCCGGTGTGCCAGGGAGGGTGTCAGGGTCTAACGCTATTTATTGTACTGCCTTGGGGTGTTACTGGGCAAGTGTTGTGTTTCCTTTCTCCGTCCTTTGTTTTGGACATAGATTCATTCTAATTGATTTTGAGTTCGTCAAGGGTAGTATCATTCACATAACAGTAAATACAAAAGCATGTTTAATACTGCGCTTCTGTTGTTGATGGAAATAATAGGAGAAGGGTCCTTAGAAGGAGACATAATCTGTAGTTTCATAAACTCTCAGGGGAAGAACCTCAGGAAATGGATCTGGTGTCTGATTTCTATGCTCATGTAGGCTAACCCCACGGCAGCGGGGCCCCAGCAGTCCTCTGCAAGGTAAGGGGGCACAGTACAACCATTGCCTTTGGGAATCCCTGCATGTGATGGGGATACTAGAGGCCTGTACTCGTGTTTAACTTTATTTTTTTTTTAATTTTTTTTAATGTTTATTTATTTTTGAGACAGAGACAGAGCATGAATGGGAGAGGGTCAGAGAGAGAGGGAGACACAGAATCTGAAGCAGGCTCCAGGCTCTGAGCTGTCAGCACAGAGCCCGACGCCGGGCTCAAACCCACAGACCGCGAGATCACGACCTGAGCTGAAGTCGGATGCTTAACCGACTGAGCCACCCAGGCGCCCCTTCCTGTTTAACTTTAGAAGTAGGGATGATACTTTACACGAAACTCTTGTGAGCTGTATCATAACAGAACCAGTACCCTCTGTCTCCTCATCTAAAGCCTGCTTTTGAAGTTCTTTAGACTCTCGTTGTAAATGAACATGTAGAGTTAATAAATTGGTGTCCTACGGATTTCTTTAGGCACTGTCCCATCGTCCAGTGTAGGGGCACCTCACAATCACATTTCCTGACTGCCTAGATGTGTCAGTCACTGTGCCAGGTGGTAATGAACAAAGCAGAAATGGTCCAAGCCCTCCTGGAGGTCAGAGGCTGGTGCAGCACTGTCTCATAGACTGTCTGTGACAGTGGTAATGTCCTGTATCGGTGAGGGTCAATGCAGTTGCAACTAGACACATGTGGCTGCTGATACTTGAAATACTGATAGTGTGATTGAGGAATTTTAACTTTATTTCATTTGAATGAATTTAAGTTTGAACAGCTACATATGGCTACTGTCTACTGTGGTGCATGGTATAGTCTATGGGCAGAAGGGTGTGTAGTCCTGGGTGGCTTAGCCGGTTAAGTGTCTGACTTCAGCTCAGGTCATGATCTCACGATTCGTGAGTTCGAGCCCACATTGGGCTCTGTGGAGCCTGGAACCAGCTTTAGATTCTGTGTTTGCCCCTCTCCAGATCACGTTCTGTCTCCCTCAAAAATAAACAAACTTCAAAGAAAATTTTTTTTTTTTTTTAAAGATACTAGAACTCAAAAGTTGGAAGATAGGAGTTTGAGCCCTGCCTCTGCCCTTAACCAGCTGTGCGACTTTGAGCAAGCCAAAATTATTAAGCCTGCCTTTGCAGGGTATAACTACGGCTTGCGGTTGTTGTGGGGATTAAATTATAAATTTGTTGGGGGGGGGGGGAGTTCTTTATCAGCTACAGAGTTCCGTGACAACATGCAGTGTTATTTTAACCAGTTCTATTAATATTAAGTCTTGTGAAGAATCTACAATATTCTCAATGTCATTTTCCATAAATTTGCACCTTAAAAGATAGTCTACTCATAGACCATCTAGGAAGCCTTTGAGCCCTGTTAGTGAGAAATCATTCTCGTTTTCTATTATAAGATTTTCAATGGAAGCCACCACTTTCTGTTAATTAATATTATTAGTTGCCTCATGTCGCTGCTCATAAATGTCGGGGTGTCAGTAATGACACTCAGGCCAGCTGAAGCACCCCCTCTTGGTTATTTCTCCTAGTGTCTGTCAAAAGAGCAATTAAAAGGGCCCCTGGGTGGCTCAACTGGTTAAGTGTCCAACTTTGGCTCAGGTCATGATCTCATGGTTCGTGGGTTCGAGCCCTGCATCGGGCTCTGTGCTAACAGCTCAGAGCCTAGAGCCTGCTTCTGATTCTGTGTCTCTCTCCTTGCCTCTTCCCTTCTCACACTCTGTCCCTCTCTGTCTCTTTCTTTCTCTCAAAAACAAATAAACATTAAAAAAAAAAAAAAGAAAGAGCAATTAGAGTGAGATCTTGGGCAACTTCACTCCACCCCCTCTCCAGCTCTGCTTCAGAGGAGCAACATGCCTGACACTAGTCAAATGAAGGTGACAGGACCGATGCAGGGTCTCCCTTGGGCCATTTACCATCACGGGGTGCACCTTACCCATCGTGGAAGGGGTAGCCCCACGTGCTATTGTCCATGAGACATTTAGGACCCCTGTTGATGGAGATGGCTGAGATGACAAATGAGTATCCAGCACCCAAGAATCCAATCACAGCAAATATTGTGGAGGTGAACATCTGAAAGAGAAGGAGAGAGACAGGTGGGTTCTTAAGGTGTTCCAGAGGTTACCCCCAGCACACCTAACCAACCAGTCTGTCATTGAGCATAGTGTCTCCAGGGAAGTTACGGGGTAAGAGCCAGTCTTCACAGTAGGTGGGACCTGTGGTGTTTCCTAGAATGAATTTTGGTATCTTTTTTCCCCTTCTTCTCCCCCATTCCCATATCTTTCTTTACCTATTCATTGATGATTGAAGTGCTAGTTATGGTTGATACCTTTGAACCATGGTTTTTAACCTTGTTAAGAATAGAATCTCCTCCTGATCTCTGTCTTTCCCAGGACTAATATGAAAGGCTGTCTATTACAGAATCAAAGAATCTTAGAATTGGAAGTGATCTTAAAAGTCTTCTGGTCTGGGGTGCCTAGTTGGCATGAAATGGGCATGATAAGGCCTGCCTACAAGGTCTGTTGTGAAAGGTAGACACGACAACTTAAGTTAAATGTCAGGGGCTCCCCTTCTCCCTTCTGTGTATTACTAACAATCTTATCACAGAATATATTTGGGCAGGGGGCGGGGCAGGGATGGGTTTGGGGTGGAGAGGACCTGATAGTGCCTGGACAATTGGAATCTATGTAATAATGGAGTTCCACTTTAGCTGGTATTTGTTTTCATATCATATGTGAATGTATTTTTGGTGCAACTTTCCAAGACTGACCTCTGCCCCATGTGCCTTATAAAGTCTTATCTGACTTCCTAAGTCAAACTAACCATCCTCTCTTTCATCTCTTACCCCAGTACCCTGGACTATATAAACTTCTGTCATGGCACAGTGCCCACAAGACATTTATGCATAGCTTTTTATGTCCGTCTTCCCCAACCGGAACATAAGCTCCTTGCCGTCATGGACAATGAGTTATTTGAAGATAGGTAGGACATTGCTTTACCCTGGCCATCATGTATTTGGTTTTTCTTCTTCCCACCTTTTCAAAGGCACCAAATAACTACTTGTTGGATGTTTTCGAAGACTATGGTTTCATGTTACTCATTATTTGACATTTTCCCTTTGAGTTTTGTGTCTAGGGTAGCCAAAATCCATTCTCACCATTAGTGAGATTAGTAACATTACTGAACATAATCTAGGTAAGAAGTAAATGAAAATTTTGTTCAATTTATCAAGTTAGAACAGGCCATCTCTTTTCCAAAGGATATCTAGGTGAACAATTTTGGAGATTTCTGGATTATATGAAGTTAAATAGGCTTCACTCCTGTTTTACTTCTAAAAATCTTTGTGATACGCTGAAGTCACTGAACCTCCAAGAAGGGGATATACTATGTATGCTGGAATATAAGCAAAATTATTAGCTCCCAAGTTATCACTGATAAGTGAGGAAATTGCCTCAGAGTTGAGTCCTTATTTTGTCTATCAGACAATAGGGCACTTTCTCAAATACTTTATTTTGAACAACCAAGTACCGCATGGGGGAAGACATTGGTCAGAAACAACCCAAGTAATGTTAGCTGAGAGAATTGTATAAAAATTTTTTTCTGGGGGAGAGAAAAAAAATTTTTTTTCCTGAACACTGATGTATTAATTATTCTAGGAAAGTTGGCCTCACAATTTCTAGTTCTGAATGTTACAGTTAACAAACCTTTTAAAGGGCATTCTAAATGAGCATACGTAGTGTTGACAGTTGTGGGGATCGTTAACATACACCTGAAAGAGAGGTGTTCAAATACTGTCTTTGTCTGACGTGAATTGATATTTGTGACTGAGTGAATTTTCCCCTGACAGCATCATACATGGCTACAAAAATGTTGTATCCAAACTTAAATGGAAGGGAAGATGTGCTGTGGGAAACTCTTGTTGGCTCAAAAGGTATCTTTAGTAGTAGCAAAGACCTGGTGTCAAAAAAGCAATAATACATTTAAAAATAAATGAGTGGGGGAAAGACTTATTTCAAAATCAATGTATTAAAATTTTATAGAATGTGATTAAACTATGTGCCCATCATTCAAAGTTTGTATATTAATGTCAGTCAAAGAGCTTAAAAAAATTTTTTTAATGTTTATTTACTTAGAGAGAGAGAGAGAGAGAGAGAGAGAGCCTGAGCGGGAGAGGAACAGAGAGAGAGGGGGACACAGAATCTGAAGCAGGCTCCAGGCTCTGAGCTGTCAGCAGGGCTTGAACCCACGAACTGTGTGATCATGATCTGAGCTGAAGTCAGATACTCAACCAACTGAGCCACCCAGGCGCCCCTCAAAGAGCTTTTTAAAAAACTTCTTTATGGAAAAATAAAAGATGGTTTGATATTCAGTTTAGCCTTATATTTGGGTGTATATGGTGATTTGCAGAGTTTCCTGGTCTCATTGGAACCTATAACTTTTTTTCCGTGAGTTCTTACAAGAACACCTTTTGGAAAATGCTGCTTCAATTCTTAGTGACAGTTTATCTGCCTAGTTCTCTGTCTCTGGGCCACCTCCATGTTCCAACAAAATTGCTGGTCAGTTAGACACAGCTGATGTAACTCTAGGGATGGCCAGAACATTCTAGTACAGCAATTAAAAACTTATGCTCAGGGCAGTTTCTTCTCATGTTACCTTTTTTCATTTCAGAGTGAGGCTCTGAATGGTCTGAAAACACTTGTTGACAGTGCAGTTCTTTGTGATGGATTGGGTGGATTGGGTTGTCTCAATGAAAAGCAGATTCTGTGAAGAAAAGGTCTCTTAAAGGTATCTTAAAACTGGTTAAAAGTCTTCAAAAGCCAGGATTTCCACTAAATCAATGGTTAAATATGCTTATAATTAATTTTTGTACAAAAGATCCCAAAAACCATTTAATGCAATCATCTCGCCTTATCTTAGATGCCTTATCTCATTTAATCCAGGGTTGAACTAAAACAACCCAGGGTTTCAACATCTGCTGATGAGTAGTGACAGGAGAAGTCTGACTCGCTATTCCTGCTGTGTGAGCTGGGTAAAGGATTTTAGATTAGCACTCCTGGAACATTTTAGCAGGCAAATATTTAAAGATGCAGAAAGTGAGTACAAATGCACACGTTCTTCATGTCAGGCAAGTCTGCGTAAATGAAAAACCAGGTTAGTAAAAAATATCAGTTAGATGGTATTTCTCTTTGCAAGCAGTCTCCATCGTAAGCACCTCTATACCAGTACTGTCCAGTGAATTGTAATGAGAGCCACGTATGTAATTTAACACTTTCCAGTAACTACCATTTAAAAACTAAAAACAAAAACAAACCAAGACAAACAAAAAAACCACCAGTGAGAATAATGTTAATAATATGTTCTCTTTAACTCAACATATTCAAAAACTATTATTTCAACATATAATCAATGTGAAAATTACTAATGAGATACTTTACAGTTTTTGTAGTAATTCTGTGAAATCTGGTGTGCATTTTATACGTATGCTACACCTTAATTTAGATCAGCCACATTCCACTGCTCAATAACCCCATGTGAACAATGGCTGTCCTATATTGGACAGTATAGTCTAGAATATTTGAAAAATTGATCTTTGGTAGCAAAAGTTTAAAAGACATATGGATATAGTGTGCACTGAATTTATGATTATGGGTACTCTTAGGGAGGAGGGAAATATGATGAAGAGAGGAGCACAGTGACTCCCAACTGAATCAATAATATTTTACTTCTTGATAAAACTATCTGAAGAAAATGCAGCATCAGGTTACAACCTCAGAAATCTACTGGTGGCATGGTCTGATTTTGTATCCAAATTTGAAACACTTCCCGTTAAAATAAAGAAACGACCCAAACTGATTTTTCATCACTTTTCCAAAACGGATGAACCATATGAAGCAAGGTATACTTTTTTTTTAACTTTAAAAAAAAAATAAAAAAATTTTAAAGTCTGTTTATTTTGAGGGAGAGGGAGAGACAGAGAGCGAGCATGAGTGGGGGAGGGGCAGAGAGGGAGAGAGAGAATTCCAAGCAGGCTCCTGCACCATCAACACGGACCAATTCGAGGCTTGAACTCACGAACTGTGAGATCATGACCTGAGCTGAAATCAGGAGTCGGATGCTTAACTGACTTAGCCACCCAGGTGCCCCAAAGCAGGGTATACTTTATGTCCCTTTGCTTTAAATAATTTCGCATTCAGAAGTCTTTAAAAAATTATCAAACTCACTACTCAGACATATTATCAGTCTTAAAACCACTAACTTTTAGTTATGTTAAAGATAACTATATCATGGGTTTCATGGTAAAAAATTTTTCATATTAAAAGAAAAGTTATTGAGCTCAAGTTGAATACACGAGGGTAGACATTCTAAATTGTTGTTAAAGTAAACAGGCACGGTGGGGGTACTTGGGTGGCTCAGTTGGTTAAATGTTGGTTGGACTCTTGATCTTTGATCTGAGCTCAGGTCATGATCTCATGGTCGCAAGATCTAGCCCAGCCCTGTGTTTGGCTCTGTGCTAAGTGTGGAGCCTGCCTGGGATTCTCTCTCTCCCTCTCTTGCCCCCACCTGCTCACGCACGTGTGGTCTCTCTCTTTCACTCAAAATAAATAAATAAACACTTAAAAAAAAATAGGCAAAAGGCCTGGAAAAATCTATGTAAGGAGACACAAAATTGGGAACAGAGGTAACCTCTAGAGAGAGGAGTTGCCAGACTTTTGAGTCAGGAATGTGAGGCTCCCTTTGTAGGTTTTGTACTATGGCAATGCTTTGCCTGGTCAAAATGAATAAATAGTAAAGAGAGGCACCACTGTGCAGTGGTCAAGGGCGTGGGTTACAGACATATTGATTTGGGTCTGAGTCTTGGTTCTCTCCTTTATGACCTTGGGAAGTTAGTCTTTCTAAGACCTCCATTTCCTCTTCCATAAGATAAGGCTCAAAAATAAGTACCTGCTCAGGGAGATCATTATGAAAGATAGGCTAATTGATAGTAAATAGGAAATCAAAAGTACACATCTCCACAGGATCAGATAACCTCCAAGTGGGGTAGGCTATTAGATAATGCCCAGTACTTCACTGAT